CCTCCGTCCAAACGAACTTCTTCTTACTGCTGAGACAGTCCGTAATGGGCGCCGTCAGGTGGGCAAAGTTTGGGATGAACTTACGATAGAAGTTCCCAAATCCTAAAAACCTCTGCACATCCTTCCTTGTTTTGGGTGTTTTCCATTCCAGTACCGCCTGGACCTTGCCGGGATCCATGGCCAACCCCTTGTCAGACAGGCGATACCCCAGGAATTCCACCTCCTTGGTATGAAACTGACACTTCTCCAGTTTCACCCACAGCTGGTTGGCTTGCAGCCTGCTCAACACTTCTCTGACGTCTCTCACATGCTGCTCCTCATTCTCAGAATACACCAACACGTCGTCTAAGAAGGCCACACAATTCTTGTAAAGCAACGGCCCCAGGACGTGGTTCATAAACGATTGAAATGTTGCGGAGCCTGCTTGTAGACCGAAGGGCATAACTAAGTATTCAAATGCCCCTAAAGGGGTGAACATGGTGGTTTTCCATTCATCCCCTTCCTTATTCGTATCAGGTTGTACGCCCCCCTTAGATCCAGCTTGGTGAAAATCTTTCCCTTCCGCACCCTTGTCAAAATGTCGTCAATCCTGGGCATCGGGAAGGCCACTGGTTCTGACACTGCATTTAAGGCCCTGAAGTCACACACCAGTCTCGGCTTGTTCGTGTTTTTTGTCCACAAAAACACTGGGCTGCCCCCACCGCCCTGGACTCTCTGATGAACCCTCTCTTCAGGTTCTTGTCAATGAACTCTCTTAGCTCCTGCATCTCTCTGTCTGACATGGCGTACAGCTTGCCCACAGGGAGCTGTGCGCCATGGAGCAAATTGATTTGACAGTCAAAGGCTCTATGCGGTGGTAGTTGGTCAGCTTCCCTTTCGCTGAAGACGTCGCGGAGATCTGCGTATTGTCGTGGTACCTTCACGTTCTCCGTTACTTCAGTCCCTGCTAGGGTGGCTTGGGCCCCTGCCAAAACCTTTCCCTCTTTGCAGTGTTCTAAGCAATGTGCTGACCCAAAGAAACCACTCTTTGATGCCAGCCCACCAGCGGATCATGTAACGCTAGCCAGCTCATCCCCAATATAATGGGAGCTCCTCCCAAGGTGGCCACATTAAACGCTATTAGTTCGGTGTGCCTTGCCACCTTCATTATCATTGGGACGGTCTGCAAGCTGACTTCTCCTCCCAACAGCTCCCTGCCATCGATCGTGGTTACCTGCAGGGGGTTGCTTAAAGGGAGCGTCTGTATCTGGTGTTCAGCTGCAAACTCTTTGCTCATGAAATTGCAGGAGCTGCCTGAGTCCAACAGCGCCTTTATCTTTAGAGGGTGTCCGTTTGGCAGCTCTAGTGTCACTTCTATCACTAGGGCGGGTTTAGGAGGTTCTGGCGTGGGCACTTTCACTGCTCTTTGGCCTGGCTGCTGTGCCCCGACAATGGCAGCCAGGCGTTGGCTTTTAGTTGCTCCGGTATTTTTTCCTCTCTTCCCTCCACAGCTCCCACCATCCCTTGCCATTCCTTCCTCTGGGGGCAGACTCTGGCAAAGTGCCCTGGCTGTTGGCAGAGATAGCATTTCCGGGCGCCTTTTCCCTCCTTTTTCCCCCCCTCACTGGGCTTTGAAACTGCGCGCGCGCGCGCTGTTCCGATTTCCATCGGCTCTGCCGGCGGGAAAGTTGGCTCTGGAATGTCTGGAATGCGGAACTCCTTCCAACGTTCCCCTTTCCCTTCCCGCCTCTCCAATGCTCTCGCCTCCTGGCGCGCTCCTATGGCCAGCGCTGATTTGGTCAGCTGGTCCATAGACTCCGCCCTGGGCGCCCGGGAAAGTTCATCTTTCACAGCCGAAGAAAGCCCTTCTTCAAAGAGCATTTGAATGGGTTCCGCCGATAAGTCCCACCCCAATCTGTGTATCAGCATGGTGAACTCAGTCCAGTACTCACGTACAGATCGGCTCCCTGTTTGCAAGCCATTAACTGTCTGCGCACCACTCCCTTTTCAATATCGCTGGAAAACATCAGATCCATGGCGCGAAAGAACTTCATCGTGTCCTTTAGGACGTCACTATGCGCTGCCATCAGGGGTCTAACCCAGTCTCTCGCCCCCTTTTCAAGATGCCCAATCACAAAAGCCACTCGTGATTCCTCATCAGGGAAATCATCAAACTGCAGATTGAGGGCATATTGCATTTCTGTCCAAAAGCTATGATAGTCTTTGGGCTCCCCCCCAAATTTCTGCACCAATCCTGGTACCTTTCTGGCGAGCTGGGTGGCTTTCTCCCTTTGTCTGCATCTTGAGCCCTCCTCTCCTCCAGCCTCGCCGTCTGCAGCGCCAGCTGGACCTCCAACACCCGGTACCTTTCTTCCAGGCTTGGACCCGCTCCAGCCCCTGCTTCTCCGGTTCCTGCTGGGTTGCTCATTATGCCTTCTCCTGCACAAGCTGCGTTCAAAGACTGTCGGAATGCTGTGATGGGAAGATGAGCTGCTTGTGCGTAAAATCGTATTCCCTCAGAGTTTGTTCAAGTCCACAAACCTCTGTCTGTGACTGAGCCCCTCTGACATGGCTCCTCTAGTCACTAGAAGATTCCGACAGTGGTTGCTTTCGTAATCGCTTCCAACATAAAAGCTCCTTAACGGAAACACGTCTTCTGGACTCTCTGCGTGACAGTTTCCGGCGAGGAGTGGGTGTCCCTACAGGAGGTCCGGAAACCTCACCACTGTTTTCGCTGGAAGTATCTCTGAGCCATCCCCCCAGCTCCCTTTCCCTCAGTTCAGCTTCTCTCCCCCTGCTGATTTCCTCTTCAGCTGCTGAGTCTCTTCCAACCTGTCTGAGCCCTTTCACCTCCCTCAGTTCAGCTTCTCTCCCCCTGCTGGTTCCCTCTTCAGCTGCTGAGTCCCTTCCAACCTGTCTGAGTCCTTTCACCTCCCTTCCTTCCGATGGCAGTTCCCTGACATAGCCCAATATTTATTTATTTTCATCCTGGAGTTGTCTCATGATTTTAATAAGGCTATTCACAGAGGCTCCACTGACAGCAGAAAGCATGTTAAAAAACCCCTGCTATGAGACATTTTCCCAGTTATGTTAACTAAGTTGATTCCAAAAATGTTACACAGCAAAATTCTAAAGTATCTATACAAAGGCAGTATGCCAGTTTGTGACAATGTACTTACTCCTCTATACCAGAGAAATCCCAGGATTCAGAATCCCATGTACGGTTTTCTTTCCAACATCAAAACTCACACCAGTTATTGTTCCCAAGCAAAGTGCATTATCCCCATTAACATTAAAAAGAAATCTATAAGAATTTACAAGTGTGGCTGTCCAAATCCTATCAAGTCTATATATACATCTGTAAATGGAAAACATATGTAAGCAAAAAAATGGGCATATAAACCAACGGTTCTTTGCTTTACTTGGGTTGGATCAAGTCCAGTGTTTTCAAATTGTTAGTAATTAGCTTCTATTTTGTGAGCAGGGCCTAATATTACAGCTGAGTTTTAGTACTCCTTAACCAACAAAACAGAGCTTATACAACTGAAAATACAGCAAATTGAAAATGTATCTATCTCAACAAAGCAATGACAAAATGATGCGCCTTTCACCAGTTGTCCAAGTTGGATGCAACAAGCCCTATCCATACATAAGCAGAATGACATGGGAGCTACTGTAAAACAGTTGCATCTCATGTTATTATTAGAAAGGAAGTAACCCCTGAAAGGTGACCGATAACCTACCACTGTAACAATTTTGTCTCCTATAGCAATTGCTTCCATTCCAAAATTACAAGAACATGGGAGTATGTCAACAGCTGTTTATTAGACTACAACTCCCATCATCCCTGACCACTACTGGCTAGGGACGATGGGAGTTGTAGTCCAACAACAGCTGGGGGACCAAGTTTGAGAAACGCTGTGTTAGCAAGTCAAACCATACTAGGACTACACCATTCATTCAGTGACCACTCTATTCAGTTCAGTAAGAAGATAGTCAAAACATGAGCTCTTTAAGACAATGCAATTGCTTTGACCTATGGCAATTCTCAAATTTGATTTAAGTCAAAACATGGTTGATTTTTACAAGACATTATCAGTTTTGATTGGTATATTTTACATTCACTTCAAGCTGTCAGAGGTCTAGTTATGGTATTACTCAAATGACAATGAAGTGAACTTAAGCTTAAAATGCACAACACATTCTGAGATAAGCATGTTGATCTCTTTATATTGATTAATATGGAAAACACAAAACCCATAAAAACTCATTACAGATTTCTATAGTGAAGCTTTGAAGCACATGTATTATTTTAGGTTTTTTAAAAACAAAACCACGGTTTAATACATTTTAGTCTTCATTTTGTACCTATTGCTCTGCAAATATGCAGCAATCTAGTGGTATTCATATATTCAATATACCCAAAGATTTCAAGCAATTATGTGCTTTGTGGAAAAAACAGCAGTAACTTTGCCTATAATAAAAATTTCTAAGATCAAAATTCCAACACAGTGAAATCTGCCATATTGTTATTAATGCAAATGTGTAACCCTCTATAATGCTGCAATACGGCCAAACTTCCTTCATTTAAAAAAACAAAAAAACCACCTTAGTCATACTGTTGGTGCGTTACTAGTTTACTTTCTAATACATACTTGTTAGCATCACAGCATAATTTATACAATTATATGGTTTCACTCTGACTTTTATAATCATGTACCCATGTTTACATTTAGGGAAAATACAGATTTGCTGATTTAACAGCCACCCCTCCCTGCTTCCCCGTTGTAATAGTTTGACAGAATACTTACACATTTAGAGTGGAAAGGGGAAAGTTATCAAACGTTAATATATACAGTTTGACCTTTTGCTGCTCACGCCTCCAAAGTACAGAAGCCTTCAGGGCTGCTAAATTATATACATCCACCTCTTTAAGCAGTACTAGATATGAAAGTTCAATGAGTAGTAGAAGAACCAAGAGTTAATCTTCTTTCCTCTTGCAGCCAGAAACTCTGCTTCTTCTACTGAGGCGGCTGAAGTACATTTAGATACTCTGACTGTCCCAGCTGGTAAGTTGTGTTTCCACCGCAGTCAACATACTGGTACCGCTCCTGAGATATTTGTTCAGAGTGACCAAAGTAAGAGGTGGTCACGGTCACTCTTAAAAGGGGGGGAAAAGGGACAGGGAAGAGAGAACGAATAGAGTTTATACATTATATACTACCTCAGCTTTTGGAGGTGAGTGGAGAGGGGGCATTTGCAGTCATGACCGTTGCTGGTGGGGCACCCATATTGAGATGAAAAATCCACTGGTGGTAGCACCAAGTTGGGTTGGGGGACTGTGGGGCCTCTGGGGAAGGCTTGTTGGGCCACATCGGGCCTGCAAACCCTTCGTTTAGTGAGGGAATAAAGATAAACATCTTTCACAGCTCCAGACTGATGTATTTGTCTAGCTCCTCCATGCCATCTAGCATATTCAACCCATCTTTGGTACCACCTAACAGATCAGAAATATCGTTCTTCCGCAATTACAGGATTTTCTGAGTTTATGGTGGTTTGACAGGGCTTTTCCTATTAGGGCAACCAACACACACTATGCAAACATTTACTTAATTTGCAAGTCCTTTAGTTTTGTTCCCCAAACTCCAGTCCTGCGCTCGGTACCGTATTTTTCGCCCTATAGGACGCACTTTTTCCCCTCCAAAAATGAAGGGGAAATCTGTGTGCGTCCTATGGGGCGAATGCAGGCTTTCGCTAAAGCTTGGAGAGCGAGAGGGGTCGGTGCGCACCGACCCCTCTCGCTCTCCAGGCTTCAGGAAGCTATCAGCAAGCCTGGGGAGCCCACAGGAGTTCCCGCAAGGCTCCCTAGGCTGCGGATAGCAGCCTGCTGCCCGGAGCGCGCTAAAGCAGAGCGCCCCGCGCTTCGGGCAGATATCCGCAGCCTAGGGAGCCCTGCGGGAGTCCACCCTGTCAATCACCTGACATTTGGTGATTTAAGTGCTGTAGCTCACGGCATCTCACAGACAGCAAGGTGCTGCTAAAATGAAGGAAAATTCCTTTTCTTTAGTAGCAAGGGCTTCAATGCAAACACCTTCCTGATCAGGGGTTTGGGTTAAATCCTGCTGAACGGAGCAGGATTTAAGCCCCAGGATTGCAACAGCCAAGGCTTTCTTAACAGAAATTACGGCTCTCAGTAGGCTGATTTAAGATTTCTTTTATTTACTGACAACCTTCTCTTCCAACAAACCAGGGTGGATTTGATTTAAATCACTAGCCAGTAAGACTTGATTTAAATCATTTTTTACAGACTCATTCTTGCTGGTATCATCTTAATATTTACAACCAGAGGAAGGTTTCATTTTGGGAATAATAAACTTTCAGAGTAGTTTTTAACTGTTATATCGCAAATTACTGATTTGGTTATACTACTGGAAATACATAGACCAATAATTATAAAATTATTGTGACGTTTAATAAGCTAACTTTATATTTGGAAAACTTTTCTGCTGTACTTTATTGGAAGGAGAAAAATAATCATTTCCTTAGTAACAATTTAAACAATTTATTTAACTAAAACAAAAACATTATAGCATATGTATCCATGTTTGTTAACTGATGTGGTTAAACAAAACAAATCCTTATTTCCTGATGAATAGCCTTTGGACTACAATGTAACTTAAATAGAAAACTATCCTTAGAAAGATTTTTCCTCCAAAAGCATTTTATTTTAAAAATCCAATTTAAATAATATTAAAAAATATTTTATCCACCCTGGATGAAATGATATTTCAAATCATTGATTTTCATCCACCCTGCAACAAACTAAACTCTGTTTTTCACAAACTGTAAAGAAAAGGAACAAAAGAGAAGAAAACCCTAGCTGCTGTCACTTTTCATGATATTCAATCGGAGATAAAGAAAAAATATGTCATCATACGCCTCCTCATCTTATCTGAGGTCACTCCCATACCATTGCTCTTAATGGAACACCACCCCACCCCAATCATTTGCTGATAAGCAAAGAGTTGAATCCTGCTACATTGGTTGTGGGAAGCCCACATGCACAGCCAAACTGAGCATGATTTAACACCATCTAATAAAGTGATGCCACCCATCCATCAGAGTGACACAAGTTGATTGACAGGCAGATGTGGCTTTAGAAAACATGGCCTCACGGGCCAAACTGGAACTGCCAGAGGGTCAAAAATTACCCACAGAGCAAAGGTTCCCCACTACAGAACTAAAATTATAATCAGAGCTGACACACTGAAGTTAATGGACCTAAGTCGGTCGTGCCCATTAATGGCAAATAGAAAGTACTCTTGAGTATTACGAATGTTGGATACAACCCATAGTTTAGAAAGTTAGGGCTCTGTGTAAATGAAAATGCAAAATATACTTACTGCATCATGACTACTATGTTGTGTACTTTGATAGAGAGTAAGGTGCAAAAATCACTGTAAAAAGAAAAAAAGTAATGTAAGCATAATTAAAAGCTAGCAAGGCTAAAACAAACACGCCAAGTTCTAAATTCTAACTAGTGATTCCCCTTAGCTCAATTGGGAATGGGCTTAGGTAAAACGAGGTACTTAACAAAAATTGGTTGATGGCAGGAATGGGGCTTGAACCAAATACAAATGTATCCCCCCAACTTTTGGGGGGGGGGGGATACTTCAAAAAGTATTTTGAAGTCAGAGTGACAGAAGAAAATGGGAGAAATTCAGATTGCTTTCCTATGAGCGCTCCCATGCCAGGGGAGGGAAGAAAAAAGGATGGTCCCAAAGAACCAGAGATTAGGCAGACTGTGTGGCTGGTTTGCACACAATGCCAACATGAATAAGCCATGGCAAGGTTTAGGGTTGAGCACTCCTCTTCTGGCACGCAGCTGCAAGAAGACAGAAAGCTTTCGTTTCAATATTTAACTAACTTCAGCTTAGCATGTCTAAACCTAGACAGCAGCTGGTTAGTTTTAGTAACAGCTTACTGAAATAAGGCAATGCATTGGCTTATTTCAGTAACCCATAGTTAAGACTAGCTGTTTTGGGGCAGGATGCTATACTACAGTTAGTTAAAAATGAAAGCTTCCAATCTCCTCCTTGTGACAATTACGGGGGGGGGGGGGGGCAGAAAGCACGAGCCCAAGGCTCAACCAGGTTCGTTTAAATCTAGCAATTATGCCTATACTTGAAGGAGTTTTGCCCAAGGAATGTTCAACAGTTAAAATGAAAAAATGGAGGGTGAAAGGGGGGGCTGGAAATGAGCCTAATGGTCAGGTGTAGAGTCCACTTTTGAAAAGGAAGGTGCTTCTCTTATTTCTGCTGGGCTGTCCGGCAGTAATCCCTGGACAGATGCACACCAAGAGGTTAAGCTCTCTTTCCTATGCTCTACCCATCCACTCCCCCAGCTAAAGACGAATAAAGTCAGAGTGATGCCACCTGAACCTGAACACTTTATTCCTTGGACAAATTTCCTTCCAGTATAGACATACAGTTGTACCTCAGAAGTGGAACGGAATCTGTTCCGGAAACCAAAGTACAGCTTCAGATGGGCTACAGGAAGCTCCTTCAGCCAATTGGAAGCCCTGTCGGACGTTCGGGTTCCAAAGAATGTTCGCAAACTGGAACACTCACTTTTGGGTTTGCAGCATTCGGGAAGCAAAACGTCCGAGTACCAAGGCATTTGACAACCAAGATATTACTATAATTGCTAGCTAGGGGCTGAGGATACCCTGCAATATTTCATTGTGGGCCCCCTTCTTGTGTGTCAGTGTACTCTAGAGAGCCAACCACTTACAACATGTAGCTCATTTCATCTTGTATAACTGTGGGCACCATATAATCAATCTGGAAAAAAGAAAAAGAAAGATCAGGATAAGGAATGTGAAACAAGAGATGATTGCTGCACATTCAGCCATATTGTATGGAATTAAATCAACTACACTTACTTGTTTCATGTCCAGTGGGCCAATGTGAGTGTTATTGCTCAGCCGTGCTTTCCCAATAACAGTCTTTGAAAACTGCACCTGCGCTGTAATGTTTTCAACTTCCACCGAATAATAATTGTTGTTTGTGATGTTCAATGTGTTCTACAGAAGAGAATTTTTTTAAAAATTCTAGATTAAAGAGAAGTCATACGCATGTCAACGATCCATATACAGTAAAATGCCAACCACAGAAGGAAGCAAAAGAGAACTTAACAATGAACATACCGTAATATTTAAGTATATTATGCGCCTCTGTGCTTCGTAACTGACATATACTGACTTGACTCCAATGTATTCAACGTCAATTGATCGAGGAAATAAGAAAAATACTGCCAGCCCAGAAAGTAGTAAGCATACAATTACAGAAGCAGTAACGTAAAGTTTTCTGCAGGAAAGAGAGTAGAGACAGGTTATCACTGTAGATACATAGATACACACACTATATGTATATAATACCTTCTTGGAGAAGCTGTGCCCAACTTGCTTTGCCCCTCACCATTCACCCATTCTAAAGCAAGTTGCCATTTTGAACATAGCATGTAGTGTGCATATGCTTTTTTGCAAATGCTTGGCTGCATTCTACCTAAATCCTGCAAGTATGGGAGCAAAGAGACGCAGCATAACAACAAAGCCTTCTGAGGGCCAGATCGCCCTCCCCACAAGATCGTTATGCACAGGGCATTAAGACATTATGCACAGCCACTGCAACATGGTTCTGCACTTTCCCAGTCAAGGCAGAGCTAGGTTTATCTGAGCCATCCTATGATTTCTAACAGTTGGCATTGTGTGTGTGTGTGTGTGTGTGTGTGTGTGTGTGTGTGTATATATATATACAGGCAATACACACACACACATACATATATATATATAAATAAATGGCAGAGAAAACCCAATGGTATGAACGAAAAAGAGTGGTACTGATGGAGGAGCACACCTTGGATGCCATCTTTCTTCACTGAAGCCCCTGAGAACACTACAACGACCTGAACCATAGTAAGCACCTCCCCTCATATCCACTCAAAGGAACATGACAATGCTTCAGTGTTGATAGAACTTTGTGACAATATTCCAAAAGAACACTTCTAGCAAAGCAGCCACCTATCATCACAAACACAAAAAATGGCTTATGGGGTTAATGGAAATTGTTCCCGAGTACTCAAAAGCCACATAGTGAACAGCATCAGAATTACATCTTTTTATTCTAGATTTGGATAGATCAACCCGTATTTTTCGCCCTATAAGACACACTTTTTCCCCTCCAAAAATGAAGGGAAATGTGTGCGCGTCCTATGGGGCAAATGCAGGCTTTCGCTGAAGCCTGGAGAGCGAGTGGGGTTGGTGCACACCGACCCCTCTCGCTCTCCAGGCTCCAGGAAGCTATCCGCTAGCCGTGGGAGACCCAGCTCTCCCATGGCTAGCGGAGAGCTTGCCGGCACCCAGAAGCTTGGGGCGCTGAGCTCAGCACGCCCAAGCTGGCTCGCGCAGCGCTCGCTAGCCGTGGAGAGCTGCGCGAAGTCGCGCAGCTCTCCCACGGCTTGCGGATAGCAGCCTGTTCTGGGGGCTGGGGTCGGGGGAAGCTCGGGCTTCCCCAGCCCCGCACCTGGGGGGGAAATAATTTTCTTTTCTTTATTTCCCCCCAAAAAAACTAGGTGCGTCCTATGAGCTGGTGCGTCCTATGGGGCAAAAAATACGGTAATTTATGGACAACACGTGTTTATAGTGCTTCTGTAAAACTTACGTTCTTCTTGGCCTCAGTCTCTGATCACTGTATGGAATCAGGGCAACAAGCTGATTTTCCTGACCTACAAATAAGAACATAACTGTTCAGTATCTTGAGTTTCCACCCATGTTCGATGCAGCTAAAAAGAATCAATAAAACGTGTAGCATCCTAGGATGATAAAAATGACTTGTCTGCAGTACTACAGCTCTGCACTGAATTCTTTCGCAGTCTACTAAATTTGAGAAAAATGTGCAATAAAACTATCAAGAGGCAATTTCTTTGAAGGAAATTTGTTGCAGAAGAGAACTGGTTTGGGGTTTTTTGGCACACCACTTTGCTCTGTGCTGCCTTTTCATCTGTGGCATAATGCCTTTGAAGGCTTTCCCCAAGAGGAGTCCTGTCTGCAACTGTTTTATTTTTGGTGCCAGGTGAAAATCTTTTTATGTGCCCATGGCTTTCAGAGGTTTGCATTGTTTTAGACTATATGCATTTTATGCTTTTATTTTATTTAGCTCTGCCTTGCTTTTATTGTGTACTATATTGTGGTTTTAGTTTTGAGAACTGCTATGAGAGTTTGGGTGGAAGGGCAGCTAATAAATATGTTAAAATAAATAAAGGATAAAATGGCAAGTAAGGCTGAAAAATGGCAAGGGCCACACTGTACCTGAAACTACCAGTACAAGACATGCATGGCAGATCACAGACCATAGCTGCTCCCATCACCTAAGCACCCTGTTGACCCAATTAGGTCAGAAAATTATTTGCTCTTTACCTTTCATCAGAGTTCTTACTTTCTTTTTCAGTAGTGCCTCTTGTGCTTTGATCTGCTACATTATAATGAGAAATTCAACCGGTGCCACTTTCCATGACAATAGTTGTGTGACAAGTAGCACTTACTGAATGTATCACCAATATCCAGCAGTTCTAAGTGCGCAAACACGCGCACGGCTAGTGATGTTAAATTCTCGAGAATAATCTTTTGGAGATTATTCTCGAGAATATTCTCAGTTAATGAGAACATTAGAGAATTTTCATTTGAAATAGAATATTCATTTTAATTTACTGAAAATGATATAAAAACCAGTTACTGGCACTAAATAAGAATATAGAAACGTTTAAATCAAGGCCAGCTCACATTCTGTTACACATAATTGTATAGGCCTAGGTACTTTTAAGTGTATAAAGCATTAAAGCTACTTTCTGTAAAAAAATAATAATAAATCATACTGTATGGCCAAGGGTATAGAATTGCTAAGAATAAGGTCACACCAAAATAGAAAAAAGGCTATTACATATAGCTGAAATACATACAAATTCAAATGTTGATCAAATTAAACGAAAAGCATTTTAAAAACTTTTTAAAAAAAGTTTTCTGTAGCTCACATTTCAGAACTGCCAATGGTGAATGACAATGCCTAGTAATGTAACTAGATCAAAATAAAATCATTATTCATTACTTATACTGGCAATATCACAGCTTGACTTACTATTTACTAGATTTTTTAAATGTGGGTTGTAAAACTGGTTCTTACATTAGAATTTACAGTTTGTGGAGAATATTCTCTCCTCACATCACTACGCACGGCTAAGAAAAGAGGTGCAAAGCATTTCACTGCCCTGAATGAAAAGGGAGATTTCCATTTTGGGTGTTTCCAGGCAAGAGTTTATTGGGGAAATCAGTCCTGCTCATGCACAGTTATTCGTAGCACCCGCATGATATATTTTTTAAAAAGTATTTAATCAGGATTCCTCCTCCCCTTACTGCAGAAAATCTGGTCACTAAAAAAACAACAACTTGTGATTCATCCACAACCACCACTTGTGTGGAAGCTCATTGGCAGCTTTGGAACAAGGAGGACAAAGAGGGCAACACTAAGGGGATAGGAAGCTCAGGTTAGGGTGGCAAAAGGATGAGAGAGGAACTGTCAGAGGCTGTACGCTTCCGAATACCACTTGCTGGAAACTGCAACAGGAGAAGAGTTTGTTGTGTTTGCTGGCTTCCCATAGGCATCTAACTGGCCACTGTGAGAACAGGATGCTGGACTAGACGGGCCTGTGGCCTGATGCAGCAGGCTCTTCTGGTGTCTCTTTATCTGAGAAGCTGGAACCCAAGGAAAGGGGAGGCAGAAGAGGCAGGGAAAGAGGCACTTAAGGAGTGGGCGGAATTACTTGGTAATCAGAATGAGACATGAGGATAAACCCTCATACAGATTCCTTACCACAATAGAAGCAAGAGACATTTGGGTGTTCTTCATGGATCCTGGGGGTAGGGAGTGTGTGGTGGACAGTAACAGAGCTGGCAAAACATGGGAATAGTAGGGAGGCTTGAGGCAACAAGCTTTTATGAATCTGCACTGAGTACTGAAGTAACCAGTCAAATCGTTGGCTTCAGGCCTCTATCGCTTTTGAGTTGTGTACTCTTGTTAACAAAGACTTTGGCAAAATGTCAAGAAAGCAGGCTGCAAAATTGCAATTATGCATAAATCGGCTTCACACGGGAGCCTGCATGGGGCAACGGGCTCAGTGTTAACATCTGACAAGGAGACACATTGGCTCAAATCCTCATGCACAAAGGGAACTTGCTGGGTTTTACACACACACACACACACACACACACACACACACACACTAACCTACTTGCCATTTATTGCCTGCAAGACTAAAATGAGATTTTTTTTGGGGGGGGGGAGAGACAAACTGTCTAGAGAACTTTGTTAATGGGCTGTATAGAAATTTTGTACACAAATAAATGTCTGCCACCCTGGGCTCCTTAGGAGAGAGTGTCAGTTTGCATCTTAGTACAGAAAGTATTGAACTGATGTGTAGAGATCTTTCCTATTCTAATTAATTCAAGAGGGTTCTGAAAATCTTCTCTGTGTGAAAGAAACAAGCAGAAGGTTCCTGATGTTTGGGTTATTCCTTCAGAGAAGCTGAGTACAGCTGGCTTAAACTGGTTCTGTTACCTCTTCTGTCAAGGTCATGCAGACTATAAAAGTAAGGCCAGAAGGAGCCTGGTTTCACTTTCTCTTTCTGTCTCTCTTTCCTTCTAGTGTGGTGTTCTGTATATAGTGTTACGGTTTAGTCTTATTATAAGTTATTGTAAGCTGTGCTTTTTTTCTTTAAAATGGTTTAGGAGTACAGTACTTTCATTCCATCTGAGACTCAGGAAACACCGTGACAACAAATGAGGCCGCCATCAGAGGTAGTAGCAGAGCTGACAATTCATCATGTTAGAGAAAAAACTATTTTTTTTTAGTTTCTTCTCCCGTTAAGATTCACAAAATGTTTAGGGGTATGCGTACCCCTGCGTACCCCCAGAAAAAAAGCAACAATTGTATGTTTAAGTTAAGTCTGCTGCAACTGGATTTCTTATGGACAGTGCCAATCCTGAATGTACTGGATTTGTGACCATTATGCTCTTTTGCCTTCGTTAGCAGTAAAGCTCTGCTGGATGAAGAACAATTGCCTCTGGTCTATTTTGGGGGGATCCTACAACGTGTTTAGGTTTTTACTCTGCTAAGTATACGTTGAGGTTCTACTCTGGATGAATACGGAGTAGAATTTCCACGACAGAGACACAGTATAAAAGGTGTTGTTGTTGTTTAGTCGTGTCCGACTTTTCGTGACCCCATGGACCAGAGCATGCCAGGAACTCCTGTCTTCCACTGCCTCCCGCAGTTTGGTCAAACTCATGTTAGTAGCTTCGAGAACACTGTCCAACCATCTCGTCCTCTGTCGTCCCCTTCTCCTTGCGTCCTCCATCTTTCCCAACATCAGGGTCTTTTCCAGGGAGTCTTCTCTTCTCATGAGGTGGCCAAAGTATTGGAGCCTCAGCTTCAGGATCTGTCCTTCCAGTGAGCACTCAGGGCTGATTTCCTCAAGAATGGATAGGTTGGATCTTCTTGCAGTCCATGGGACTCTCAAGAGTCTCCTCCAGCACCATAATTCAAAAGCATCAATTCTTCGGCGATCCGTCTTCTTTATGGTCCAGCTCTTACTTCCATACATCACTACAGGGAAAACCATGGCTTTAACGATACGGACCTTTGTCGGTAAGGTGATGTCTGTGTTTTTTAAGATGCTGTCTAGGTTTGTCATTGCTTTTAATTTTGTGACTGCTGTCACCATCTGCAGTGATCATGGAGCCCAAGAAAGTAAAATCTCTCACTGCCTCCATTTTCCCCCCTTCTATTTGCCAGGAGGTGATGGGACCAGTGGCCATGATTATAGTTTTTTTGATGTTGAGTTTCAGACCATATTTTGCACTCTCCTCTTTCATACTCATTAAAAGGTTCTTTAATTCCTCCTCACTTTCTGCCATCAAGGTTGTGTCATCTGCATATCTGAGGTTGTTGATATAAAAGGTATCTCTCTACTTTTAGACCCTAAAATTAAAATCTGCCTAATTCATTCTGGGCTCCTATGGAAAGAAAGGTCCTACATAAACAGGATGACTAAACAAACAACCACTGAATATGTCTTCCACCCTACCCTCAGCTTCTAATTTTCTTTGGAAATTTTCAATGGACATTATATTTAGTATTTTGATTAGCTTGCTGCTGGCTTCCCCCCACCCCACCCCAAACCGGTATAACGTTAATAATTTTCATGGTGACGCATGTTCTGAAACCTTCTATGAAATGCTTTTTTAAAAGTAAAAACACAAACCCTTTCACTTATTTTGTTAAAATGACTGCAGTAATTTCAACACATATTGTTTTATGCTACTTAATCCAACAAGCTTTTTCCTCAAACTTCATTCAAAACATACTTTGCTGCAGGCTTTAAGTTTAGCCTTCTGTATCAATAGGACCCATTGTTTAGAACTTACCCCTATTGATGTAAATGTACTGGTATATTGAGTAACATTCGCTTCAGCTGCCAGTTACATTATACAATATGCTAGTACCATCTTAAGGAATTCCCAGTTGTACATCAGCATAACTTTAGCAAGTAAGCACAACTCTACCATCAGATAGAAGTTCTAACATTTCCAAATTTGAAAATGAGAAAAAATAACTTTTAAATGGTAAAAGGAAATCATAGAGCATGACTGGATGAAAAACTAAGCCGTAGTTTGCTTTAACAATGGTTTGTTGAAGAAACCAGAATCCTGCTCACAGATAATAAAATAAACCATGGCTTGTTTTGCCTGGTGTTGACTGATGGTTGCATTGTGAATGCCCAGCTGCCATACTTGCAACTGAAAACTGGCAAGGTATCACATTAGTATTGTTTAAAAAGTTCAATGTGATTTTCTATGAATTTGGTGAATAAAGCAAAGAGAGAAAATCAAAGGACCCAAATCCAAGGTTATCCTACCATAAGTCTTTCAATAATATTCTCAGGTACAAAAAAAGGCCAGCAAAACATATCAGTACTCAGTCATCATACACTTTCTACGCCAGATAAGCATAAGGACTAATGGGGACTTGAAGAGGAGGAAGACAAAAACATATTTAGCACTTTATCATTTAGACTGTTTCATGCATTTTAGACATACCACGTGGAATTCTCCCTGTTCCCTGACACGTGGGACATGTGACGCTATCTCTTCCCGTGAATTCAACATATGGGAACTGTGACACATCTCCATTTCTTCCATCTTCACTGTGAGATTCTGAGTGAACTAATCCCTTCCTCATGTTGTCCGTTGATGAAACGCCATCTTCTTTAGATCCATGTAAAGGCATTGAAAGAGACTTCCCCATGTTTGCTGGTAGGAAAAGTTAAGAGGCAGACTTTAGACCTGGAGGCATGTTATATATAGGAGGCTTCATTTGGAGAGCTATTAACTCATTTGTAGTCTCATTGTATTGGGTTTCCTGTTCACTGCTTAGGGACAACTGGGACCACTATAAATACAGTGGTACCTCAGGTTACATATGCTTCAGGTTACATACGCTTCAGGTTACAGACTCCGCCAACCCAGAATTAGTGCTTCAGGTTAAAAACTTTGCTTCAGGTTGAGAAGAGAAATCGTGCTCCAGCGGCGCGGCAGCAGCAGGAGGCCCCATTAGCTAAAGTGGTGCTTCAGGTTAAGAACAGTTTCAGGTTAAGTACGGACTTCCGGGACGAATTAAGTACTTAACCCGAGGTACCACTGTATTGTTGAACTGAATAAATGAAAACACTAAAACTATGGTTCAGCTTGCTGAGATAAACCACTGCCCACCAGGAAAACATTCAGGGAGACTTGGTTGCAACTTGCTAGCAGGGAGCCTAGAAAGGGAGGCAAACTGCCATAATCGTGACTGGCTCAGTTCAGATGTAATATTTAACCATGACTGATGCAAGCCATAATGTGCAAACCTCAGACATTGTGGTCTCCCATCCTGGCTTGGTTGCAAGCCAATTCTTAATCACAGTTGAAGTATTCAGTTGCAACACATAATCCCAATTAAGGAAAACAAACAGTTGTTCAGCATTATGTCTGTGAAAGGCTGAGAAGGTGTTTAGTACTGTTTTGTTGTGTTATTTTATATTCTGTTGGAAGCCACTCAGGGTGGCTTGGGCAACCCAGTCAGAAAGGCTGATATATAAGTAATATATCATCATCTGCTTTTTCTGATTGGGGAAAAAAGTTATATTGTTTCAAGAATTATCACCACCCATACCCATACATTATGATAATTATGCCAAAAGTTTCTAGTTCTGTGCAGAATCTTTAGTTATGGGGAATACATTCTTCATAATACCTACCTCTTGGTTTTCTTTCAGTACTATGTACAGTGGTGCCCCGCAAGACGAATGCCTCGCAAGACGAAAAACTCGCTAGACGAAAGAGTTTTCCGTTTTTTGAGTCGTTCCGCAAGACGAATTTCCCTATGGGCTTGCTTCGCAAGACGAAACGTCTTGCGAGTTCTTGCGAGTTTGTTTCCTTTTTCTTAAAGCCGTTAATAGCCGCTAAGTCGCTAATAGCTGTGCTTCGCAAGACGAAAAATCCGCAAGACGAAGAGACTCGCAGAACGGATTAATTTCGTCTTGCAAGGCACCACTGTATGTTGCTGCAAAGCTACTCATGTGTTCCACTCAGTACACTAATCCTACACTTGTTCCTCACAAATCATCCTGACAGCCAGAAACCAGAACATGTAAATATTGATCTGAAATCCTGGAATCAGCTGTCTCCGAGAGAGCCATCTGTAAGTACACTAAACATGTAGGGTCGCCAACTTTTAAAGATAGGGCTCCTGTGAATTGAAATCCACAGCAATGTTATATGTGTTCTCGGCTAAATGGGTTATCCCTGCTTTGCCTTTACTCTGCTTCAGAGATGGGGAACCGGCGGCCCATCAAACCTGACCACTGGCCATGCTGGCTAGAGCTGATGGAAACTGCAGTCCAGCAATGTCTGTTCCATTTCCCTGCTATACTTGCAGAACTTTGTCTAACGGAGCCCAGACCGGGGCTGGGGGCAGTTTGAAATGAGTAATGAGGTCCCTCTACCCAGCTCCCCTAGCTAAGCTGGCCTCCTGCTGACTGTGAGTGTTGCCTGTGGGGTGTCGGCCAGCAAAAAGCTTCTAAGTAGGACATTCTGGAGGCAGGGAGCAGGTGGGGCTGAGGATGCCTTGGATTCCAACCAGTTTTACTGCTATGTGATGGCATGGGCCAGATCCAGGATGGTGCAGCTACACACACCCACATATCTTCCTCTGTGCATGGCAGGCCTGCAGGTACAGTGGTGGCCTTGCCGCTTCATACAGCTCTGCCGGCCAGCGGCTGGGGTATAGACTGCAGCCTAAAATTTCCTGGACTATGGGAAGGCTTGCTGGGTCAGGGTTTAAAGTCAGCTGAGTTAAAGATAAAACAGGCAGTTATCACACTGGACATTTGGACAGTGTGCTAGCCGTGATAAGACAACTACTTGAAATGAAAAATAAACTTCAATTCAGGTACAGCTGTGAGGCTAGAGGAATTGTGAAACTATGCATTAATGGAACTCAGAGCAAGCCAGTATCTGATATGGTTAGCTTGGCTTGGACCACTGTATTTTAGATAGATAGATCAAACTGTATCAAAATAACTATGAATTTGATTATAAGACTGTGCACGTTAACCTGGGAATTAATCCTCTAGAACACACATAATAAGACTGTAATACTAGGGCTGCCATATGTCTGGAATTTCCCAGACATAGCCGGCATTTGTCTGTTGAAAATGGCGTCTGGGTAGAATTTCCGAAAAGCGGCTAAAATATCCGGAGAAACGTGGGCTTATGGCAGCCCATATCTGAAGTGTTGATTTTCCTAAGAAAAAAGTGATTTTCACTTTTTTATGGCAACCCTATGTAACACTGAAGAGGTGCTGATGAATCAAATATTTAAAAAACAGTTGTAGCAGTTTGCTCTGGTCCACAAAAACAAAACAAACCCTATGTAATACTGAAGAGGGGCTGCGGAATCAAATATTTAAAAAACAGTTGTAGCAGTTTGCTCTGGTCCACAAAAACAAAACAAACTGACCCAAAATGCAAGTGGGACACACAGCAACCTAATACCTAATAATAATTTAATGCAAACTAATTATAGTAATGAGCTTAAGCTCTGCTCATAATATATTTCTTTCCAGAATCAAGTATTCAGAGTCCTAATCAGTGACAAAGTTTATTTTGGGTTGCCTGGGATTTTTCCTAGCTATACATATGTAAATAATTCCTTACTGGGAGGCTTCCCATCCACCTATCAAAACAAATGGAACTCACAAAAGGTCATAGTCACCAGCATTTTAACCCTTTCTGCATTTTCCCAAGAAACAAAATTATTCATTAAAACTACCTGAGAAAATGAGTATAATTTCCACAACACCCAGATTAAAACAGCAGTTTGTTCACCTTTTTATATTAATAACAATGAATGACTAGGGCTACAGCATCTTTCCCACTAGAAAAGAAACAGAGATCAAGATTTATATGTTAGCCATTTTCAGAGGAAACCCATTTAAAATGGAGGTAAGTTGTCATGACCTGCTTAAATCCATTAATTTTAATAGGTCTGCTCTGAACATGACTTACATACAAACTGAAGTTATAATCTCAGTGCATATGTAATATATAATGACTGCTGATGCAAACCACAATTTGCAAATTACTAATTATTTAGCATTCATCAATCCTCTGAGAAGAGGGAGGAATATTTAATACTCTAATATAAATGCAAGTAAGAAGCTCTATGATGAATCTTAGATTTCTAAACTTGCCAGAGCCAAAGCATACATAAGATGACAGAAGCCTTGTAAACAGTAGACACCAAATGTCTCCAAGACCTAACTCAAGAAACAATTATGGAGCGAAGGAAGGAAATCAGATATAGCACGGATAGATATGCAACAACTTCTAGATGTGTATCCCTTTTAGGCTGCAACTAAGACGAATAAACCTTACTAAACTCATCAGCAGTTACTTCTGAATAGATAGACCTGAATAGGACTGCAACGTTAAGCCTGCTGCAGCAAAAACAAAACGGTAGCACTTTAAAGATGGAAAGAAATATGAAAAGCAAAGGCAGTCATGTCAGCACATAATAACAATCCCTCCAAATCCACAAATGGGCAAACTTTTTATTGGGAGGACCATACCAAAAAAAAGAGGGGGCATTTAATCTACAAAAAAACGCATGCCATAATAAATATGTATTGCATGTCTTTAAAAAGCACCCTATCTTTTAATAAAAGATGTAGCCAACCAGGGGAAATTTCAAGCAAATTAAACCCCTCTCATGATCCCTGCAAACGATCCTCAGCCAAACCCCACCTCCCCTCTGCTTCTCATCCCTCAGGTAACAGCGCTGGGTGTATGTGAGAGAGAGATAGATGATTGATAGATAGATAGATAGATAGATAGATGTACACACAGGTGTGTGGTCAGCTAGTCCCTTCCCTCCCTCTGCTATCACCTGCCCCTTCCCCAACAGCCTCGCTCCAGAAGGCAGCAGGTGTGCAGTTTCTTTTTGGCTCAGCCTGCCTCACCTGCGTCCCCTGGCCGCGCTCCCTCCTCTTCCACCGCCTTTCTCCTCCTCCTCCTGCAGGTATGGGCGCTTCACCTGAAGGGACAAAAACGAGACATGGAAGACCTTCCAGAAGCAGCCGGCATTAAGTTACGGGCAATTCAGTGATAAAAGCAAGCAGTGAAGCAATCAATTTGCAGGTCAGCCGCCGCGCAAACACACCACGCACCGCGATGCCTTGGGCGCGGGGCCCGGGGTATTTTCTCCCTCCCTGTGACGTAGCCCGGCAGAAAGAAGCTCCAGAGGGGAGCCCCGGCTCTCCCCGTTTCTGCAGGGATTCGTCACACGAACACACACACGGCTCTGGTGCCCAGCCTAGCTGCGCGGCTTGCAAGCTGTAACATCAGGGAAGGCGCACGCCATTAAAAAAACAACGGGGAAAAAAACATTAACGTAGCTCCGGTAGGTTGCTTCTCCCTCCCTCCTCGGGACCCAGGAGACGAGTTTCCCAAGAGAGGCAGAGGCGGAGGAGGGGGTTGTTTTGCAAAACGACTGGCTTTATGGGAGATGTAGTAGGATGCTGAGCAGGAGAGTGAGCATTCAGGACTACAGCTCCCAGCATGCTCTCTGTTTCTCTTCTCCCTCCCTCCCCTCTCAGCTTTTCACATGCAGTACTGGAATTAAAAGAGGGGTCCTGTTTCTTTTCTGCCCCTCACCCCCATTCCCTGCCCAAGAAAAAAAAACAGTCGCTAGAGTTTGTATGGATGAGTCTAAAAATTGTAAGATGCAGGGCTTACAGGCTGCAACACCCTGCAACTACAGGCCAGAAGGGCAGAAAAGAGCAGGGAGCTCCATGTGCATGTGTGTGTTGTGCCTGCCCATGTAGGGCTTTTGACACTCAAGTTGCCCTTAGTGAGAAGAGAGCAATGCATATAATGAGCAATTTATTCTCAAAAATCCCAACTCTGGAATTACTGCTGTTTTCATTGCAAAGTATTTTAAAGAGGGAATTAAAAATATGTAACATAGTGTATAAATAATACGGAGCATAAAGCAGATAAAATATAAAAATCATTAAAAAACAAAGAATTTTCTCAGTACACATCCGCTCACTCAATACCTAAACAAATTCCACACCCGCTAGCACACCAGGTTAAACACATAGCATTTGGCCAAAGTGGTACCATTTGTTGTAATATTATGTTGATAGTATATTGTCTAATTTTACATTAAGCTGTACTTAAATGAAGATTGTTTTGTTGCATTTTAACGTCCTTCAGTCTGGGATTGTGTGAACAATTAGGAGTAGGTTATAAATAATTTTATATTGTAAACCACCTTGTTTTTCCTCAGATGAAGGGCAGTATAGAAATTTAATAAATAAAATAATTTAAATAAGTAAAACATATTATGTGGTGCTAGAGCTTAAACTTTCTTCAAAACACCTCTTGTTCCCAATCTTGGGGAAGGATCATAGTTCAGTGATAAAGCATGCACTTTGCATACAAAATTTTCCAGGCTCATTTCGACATGGGGCTGAGAAAGATACCTGCCTGAAATCTTGGGACACTACTTGGTTAAATGGACCAATGAGTTTGGTATAAGAAGAAATTCTTGCCTGAAACTCTTGCCAAACAGTGAAGACAATACTGAGCTAGATCAATCAATGGTCTGATTCAGTAAAAGGCAGCTTCCTTAGGTTTATGATTACAGGAAAAGCACGTTCTCAAATCCAAATAAATAAGATATTCACAAGAGGACTGTTTCTGCTGTGGGAGGGGTAGATCTTTAAACAGCTTAAAGTATCTTGGAATTCAAATAGTGGTGGGAAAATAGAGAACAGGGATGCACATCATTGAGGCATGCATCCCTCAACCACATGAGGGGAAGCAAAAATAAGCCTTCTCCCCAAACACTGTAGCATTCCAGTTCAGATATTAGATGAGCAGATTAGTCCTGAATTTCATGGGGTAATTTAATATGCCTAGGCTGCTGAGGTACAGGATGAGGTGAGCAAGAAGCTACTTTTAGACCTGGAGCTCACCTGTCTCCTGTTGCAGAGCTATGAGCGGAGGGTGACTTTCCAATCATTCTCCTCTCCCATATTCCTCAATGGCTACCAACTTCTCATTAGTTAAAGAAGGCTGTAACAGAGTTTGGTTTGGGTCACAGAAGCAATCCAAACTGCTATACAATGAAACTGAAACTGCACAGCAACTTAGCACTTAATTATTATTTTAGTAGAACAAAATTTATTTAATTCATTCGTTAAGCACACTTAACCCCTTTTATTTTATTTTATTTTATTTTAAAAACTTTCAGAGGTCACTGACGTATGAAGACAAAATAAAGTTAAAAAGGGATTCACAACAATGCAGTTCAAAAGCAGGAACAGTAAAAAGCAACAGTACCTCAAAAGCACAGAGTAATTATATTATGGAGAGGAAGAGCCATTTCCAATTCTCAGGTTTCAGAACCATATCTGAATTCATGGGAAGCAACAAAATGTTGCAATCACGTGTGTTTTTCCACCCGCTGTGGTGTATCACTTCACACCCAAATTATGAACACACCTGTACTGATGCACTTCTCTGCAACTCTAGTAGAGAGTGAGTAATTATTAGTTGCTTGCTCCAGATTCAGAAAAATAAAGATTTTAATTATTGTGCAATGAGAAACTGCAATGCAGACTCTTCCTCAATGTAGAGGAAGTAGAGAGGAAGTAATGATTTAGCATTTCTTAATCTACTGTACCACTGGCAGGAGCCCTTAACATCTACCTACAATATAAATGCTTGTCTCAAGAAGCGCTTTAGTTGGCATTAGATTTCAGACACCCCCTATATACAAACCCTGTTTCAATATATTATTACTAATAATTATTGAATTTATATACTGCCGTATACCCACAGCTCGCAAGGCGATTCACAGGATAACATCAGAATATAAAACCACAAAGTACATAATCAAAATAAAAACAACAACCCAATGACCCAAGAGAAAAGCAACAGATGATGGGAAGTAAACGTAATTAGGCACCGAAATGCTGAGGCTTAACTCTAGAAAGACGTAGGAAAGGCGGATGGGAAAGTAATAGATGGCACATGCACACCTCGAATCCTGGGAACTGTAGTTTACCATCGCAGAGCTACGATTACCAGCACTACACTTACCAGGATTTCTTTAAATGCGTTTTACATGTATGTTGCAAGACGCAGCAGCAATTCCACCAGAAAGGGGCCGCCGGTTCCAAGGCCTCTCCAAACCTAACCCTCTCAGAGGCCCCGACAGAAATGACAGGGCAGCACCGCAACTCTTTCCTCTCTTTCGTCCCCCAATCTGCGCTCAAAGCAGGGAACTGATACCTAGGAACAGGCTGTATCTGTATTAGGATGGCGGCCCAAATTCCCAATGGATTACCCCATCGCCACCACTGGCGATGCATTTATTTATTCCTCCGCTCCCGGCTTTTTCCCCCTTTTGTTTGGCAACGCTCCTGCGCGCGCGCACACACACAGACAGAAGCCCAGGATGCGTGCAGGCCGCGATCCTTCCCTCCCACCACTCTGGGCCAGAGTTGCTCGTCGGAACGCGCAGCTGATACCATAAGCAGAAAAACAAACCCATCCGTGCGCGCGCGCGCTCACGGCACCCAAAGGTGCCCCGATCTCTCCCTCCGAGCACCAGGCTAGCAACACCCGCTTGCCCAACCCTCCCTCCTCGCCCAGCTCCCCCCGAAACTCACCGCACGCCCCCGAGCCTCTTCTCCAAGCGAAAAGAGCGCGGCTTGTTTTTGTGGGGCTTCTTTTTTTCCCTTTGGCTCAGCGCCTCCCCCCGCTCCCGGTGTAGCAACCTAAACAGCTGCCCGTCGAGTTCTACGGCGAAAGGCAACTGAGCATGCTCCGTAGCAGACGCTGAAGCCCTCTGCCCTTCCTTTTTGCCCATCCTTGGAATCGGAGCTCCGTCTGCCCAAATCTAGATAGGGAAAGGCGGAGTAGCTCAGGGCTGTGCAACGCCTGATCTTGGAAACGGGGGCGGGGGGCGGGGGGGAAGCAGGCGGAAGAAAAAAGCAGCGGTATTTGCGTGAGCAAAATAATAATTATAATAGGGGAGGCCAAGGATGCTCTACGGAGCATGCTCCCTCCCTTTGCAGTCATCGTCCTAATTGACTGTCATTAAGGAGAACTGGCTGCAAAAAATATACAGGGAGGGAGGGGTTTGGCCATCACAGGAAGAGGATGTGCAGGTGCTTGCAATGACATGGCAGCGTAGAAGAAGGGTGAATAACTGGATTTCAGTTATCACCTTTGAGATCACAGTTCTTTTATGCATGTGTCTGCCTTGCTTTCTGAGCTGGGTGTAGCGACCTGACTGCTTGCTAACTACTGTGGCCTATGGGGGGGGTGGAGTTTCCTAGGCATCTGGAATCAATTGGAATGGCAGGGGGATGAGAGAGAGACCCTTTGTCCAAATTTCCTATCGTTGGCTTAGAAAAGCAGCTCTGACTACAGGTAGCTAATTTCTGAAAAGTCCTTTTTTCAGATGTACCACAACGTAGGATATATTACCAAGAAGGATTTCTTAAACACCCAAGGCAAAAAAAAGAAGAAGAGTAATTAGGTTTGCTCGTGTGTTTGAGTGTGGGGTTCAGCAAGAAGACCCAGCTGTTCTGGGGGAAAGAGCCGTGTCCAAATTTGGGGATCTGCCTCAGATTTGCATTGAGCAGAATTTGTATGCAAAGAGAGAATGTTTGGGGTATTTCTGGTGCTGGCTGGTGACCATTAGGACTGCTTGGGCAGAAGGCAGAGAGACTGACAGTAGGTGGAGGCAGACCCCAACCAATCCTAGTTTTGTCCCCATCCTCCTCCCTGCTGCAAGGACAGCACTGAGGTTAAAGAGGAAGAGCAAGCCAACAAACAGAGGCATCTCTCATTGACCGGTTTCAGTAAGGAAACAAGTGAGGGCTGTCAGAATATACAAAGGAAGCTGGGCCAATGCCACAGTCTTCCCTGGGTATCTCTCCCCCAGAGGCTGAGGTGGCCACACTCTGATGCACACCAGGCTCAAGGGAAGGATGATGAGTGCTGCAGAGGGAGATGGAGAAATCCCACTTGGACTGTTTAGATGGCTTCTTTCTAATCTAAGAGTTTTCTTTGCCATTTCCAGACATCTGGTCTGCCATTCTGAATGAGTCAGAAATCAGCAGCTTGGCTTACAAAACATACTTCAAGCTTGGTTCCAAATAGAATTGGGAAATGGAGCATCTGAGCCTTTTGCTTCCTCCTAGACAAGGGAGCTGAACTGAGCAAGTCACACCAACTCTTCCGCCATCACAAAAAATGCATTACTAAGCTATTTCTGGAATACACACACACGACTCCTCAAATATATTGTAACATTTTCATTGACTGAGTTGTGACTTAGGTTTACATAGTCCCACTGTATGTAAACATCACACAAGACAAATTTAGTTCATCCACTTCTGTGGCCAGCATGGCCGATGGTCAGGATGATGGGTACTGTAATCCAAATTTGGCCAGTAGAGTTCCTGAAATACTTGGAGCCTAAACATGGTTAGGTTTCAACTGCTATGGACCAAAGCTGGTTTGGAGGAAAGTGCAATATTTCATAAACAACAGCACAATAGGTATGAATTGTGCCTAACGTCGTGTGAACATTGCTTCCCAAACCAGCAGTGGGAGCGCACTGGATGCAGAGTCAACATGAGTGTGCACCTGACCTCAGTTGCTAAGCGAAGCTTATATTGGCAGGTAGGGTGTATAAAGAAGTAAGGCTTTCCTGATGCTCCCCTTAAGAATAAGTCCTTGATGAATGCACCAATCTGTAATTCACAGATAGATTTCTTGGTGGATCATCTCAACCCTGTGTACACTGTGATGATGATATCTTTGCATTACACTATTCTGTATGAATAAAGCATAAGCATATCCGATGTATGCATTTGATATATTGTGCTGCTATCGACAACTGTCATTCTTGATGCTATCTGTGGTCTGAAATGATAGGAGCTGTGGGCTGGCTGACAAATGAGTGAGATGATTAACATGAGAAGGAAAGGAAAGGATAAAAGGTATAATTTATCCCAGTTGCTATGCACTCCTGCTAGTATTACATCTGAACTGTGGCTTTCATGCAGCATTATAAATTATCACAAACAGAACATTTGATTTTTCTCCATCCTACCCTCCTTCCATTTCTCGTACGCAAAGCCACTTTTTATTTTATTTTATTTATATCTTGCACCTCCAGCTTGAAAGTGTTCCCAGGGCGGCACTTACATGCATATTATAAAGAATTCGACAATAAAATAAAGCAATCCAATAAAAAGCAGCTCAACAATGAAAACAGCCTGCGGGTGAAAACAATAGTATCAGAAGAGCAGTTTGAAACAACTCTGGAAACCGCTCAGTTGATGTTTTAAAAGGCCTAAGTGGAACAAAAGAAAACAAAATTCTCTGGTACCCCAAACAGAATAGTAGGTGCCCAACAGTCATCCCTGGAGAGAACATTCCACAGTTGGGTTACCCCATTCGAAAAGGTCTTCTCTGAAGTTGCTCACACCAACCTAACTTTGGAACAGTGGTGAGGAATCACCGTTACCTGATGGGTCAGATCAAAAAGTGGCCACCTCTCCATAGATCGCTTTTGACAGGTGGGCAAGTCTGTCTATCATCTGATGTCGTCATGACCCCCAAGTGAATCTGATCCCTCCTGGAAGGCAGCAGGGCTTGCATGTGGTGTTGAATTTAAGCACCTTCCAATGCAAGCCCAGTTGCAAATGAGCAATTGGGAATGCACTCTTAAGCCATGTGCTCCCAGTGGTTCCTTGGCACCAAGGTTTGCATTTGGTGGTGTTTAAATTCAGTGCCAAATGCAAGCCGTACTACTTTAGGAAGGGATCAGATTCATTCAGACACTTCTGAGGAAATAGGGGCTTGCGTTTGGCACCAAATTTAAGCAGCGTCTAATTGCAAAAAGCCTTGCTACCAATCACTTTGGATTCATGTCACCAGCTCACTACGTATAATGGAACTTACTGGTTGCAGATTTAAGGCAGTGTGAGATTGGGATCATAGAAAATAAACTGTTAGGAGTTGGGGGGGTTAGTCTGGATGGAACCTGGGGTCCGCTTCCAAACCTGTAATCCTGTGTGCATGTGGTAGAATCTACAAGAAGGAAACCAGCCAAACCAGCTCCTTTGTTAAGATAATGACTTTGACAGGCTAGTTAAGTACAGTGGTACCTCGGGTTAAGAACTTAATTCGTTCTGGAGGTCCGTTCTTAACCTGAAACTATTCTTAACCTGAGGTACCACTTTAGCTAATGGGGCCTCCCACTGCCGCCACCTCACAATTTCTATTCTCATCCTGAAGCAAAGTTCTTAACCCAAGGTACTATTTCTGGGTTAGCGGAGTCTGTAACCTGAAGCGCCTGTAACCTGAAGCGCCTGTAACTCGAGGTACCACTGTACCATGATTTAGCAAATACAAATAAGTTGCTCTGTGCCATAGAACAAATGGGTGGGCCTTCTCCACCCTCAACTAGCTGCTACGTAGGAGAACAATGGGCAGAGTTGTGTGTCAGGTGAGCCAGAAGCAGCTTGGAAGCTGGAAACACAGAGAAGTGTCTTGCTCTGTGCTGGGTTTCTCTGGAAACTTAATGGAGAAGCAAGATCTGTTGGGGTGTTAATGCTGTGAGCCCTCCATCCTATGCTCAGGTTGTATGTACTGAATGTGTAATTAAAAGCATATATCCTAAAGACATTGATTTGCTTTTAATCTTCATTCTAAGGAAACTCAGCCCTGGAAAAGTGCTTGGAATGCTTGGAGTCTCTTGCTGCTCAGAGATTGGGGTGGGGTGTATATAATGGAATTGGCTGCAGAATTAAGGAAACTTGGGAACATGGAAAAAATATTTTTACTGATTCTTTCTTCCATTTATTGCTTTTGCCTTAAAACTGAATGAAAACGTGCATAAATGAAGTAGTTTTTCTTTCTAGAAGTTTTTAAAGAACACCTCCTTTCTTAGCATATAATTCACATTGACAGCCACGTTGCAACTAATGTGCAACGATTTACCTTCTCCTTTCCAGAGATCTTGGTTCCCACTCATCTCATGATGGGATGCAGCTCTTTCGTCATTAACTTGGAGCAGGCTCAAATGTTGCTGACTTCATCTTCATTTTTATTCTTGGAAGTGCATTCTCTTGGCAGTTGATTTGTGAGAACTGACACCGAACGGCTGATGGATGGCACCATGTTGTTAAGGAACACGGGGCAGGATAGAAGGAGTTTGCTGTAAAACTCTGAAACGTTAAGGTACGGTGTTTCTGACATGAAAATATAAAAGCTATCAAGCAAAGAAAAGTGCTGACGTAAATAAAGACTAATGCCTCTTGTGCTTTGATCTAAAGCAGGGGAAGTGTTCAGATTATGTCTACTGTACACTTGGACTCTATTCATAATATAGACAGCTTATTCAGAACATAACATTAAGGTAGATAACACGCAAGTCTGCACACACACACACACAGTGTCTTCTTGAGTGTGTACAGTGACACTTTAGGGATGTCCTGTTGGCAGAATGTCAAAAGAAGCAATATTGCCTTTGCAGATAGATGTGACTTTATTGCACTTAAAATGACCACCTGTGGCAAGGATGGGGAACTTTTATCCGTCCAAGGACTGCATTCCTTTGTGGGCAATCTTCTGCAGGCTACGTAGTGGTTATGGGAGGAGGAGAGGTTGAATGCACCCAGACAGTGTCTCCGATTGCCTCTTTTGGTTCTGGCAGACAAGTGTGTGTGGGGGGGGTGAGCTTGTTGCAGCAGGAGGGGGAGACACCTTTTGCTCTTCACCAGCCTGTCTCATCTTTGCCTCTTGGCTTCCCTCCTCTCCTGCTTCAGCTTTTGCCTCCGATTCTGG